CCAGCAGAGCCTCAGATTTGGTGTGATCCAACCCTGTAGTGACAGGCTGGAGGATGTGCTGCTACACTGAAACTCACCACGAGCAAATTCCCTGAAGGGTAAAACAAACGAAACAGAAAACTCATCTAGTTACCCAAATACAGCCCCAGGAGAGACACTTCAGTTCCCAATTCACCAACACTTAAACCAAGATAACCCTGTGATAAGCAGGAGTGTTGTGCTGCAAGCTGACTACATCCGCTTCTTATTGTACCAGGTGCAATTCAACTAACAGCAATGGTCTGCAGGGCGATGCATCCCTGCACAGCTCCACTGCTGCTCTGCAAAGCAAAGACCACCCCACACTGCTTCAGAGCACAGAGACGTGCCCAGAAGTTTGCTCATCCCTGGGGGATGTGGCCTGAGAGCTGCTCTCCATGCATGTCAGCTGGGATCTGATTTCACACGAGGTTTCAAAGGACTATGAAGGCAGAAAGGCGAGAAGCAAACACAGTAAGACGTTCAAGGTCATTAGTTATATGCACTTGTGTATCTCATAATTAATTCAGTGATTTCTAGGAGTTGCTTACACTACAGAGGAAGGTTAGGATTTGGGAGGAATGGGGCTGGAGGAGCAGAGAAAGGTTGTGCTCTGAAGTCAGGACTGCACCTCCCCAAGCAGCACACAGATCTGAGCCTTCCTCAGGATTTACATCCACTGGCCAAGCGTGGGGTGGGGGGCAGCCAGCCCCACCTGAGCTCAGAGCAGCACTGTGCTCCAACCCCCATAAATCCCAGCTCTCAGCAGGGGCTGCTGGCCCAGGCTCAGCACTGAGCTAACGCAGCCCCTTGTTTCCTCCTGTCCTTGGCTCACACCTGGGCAGCCCTGAGAGCCAACAGCACAGCCCAGGTCCACCCACAAAGCACCAGACCTCCACACATCAGGTGCTTTGCAAACAGTTCTGCAGCCCGATGGGGTTTTTGGTTTTCTTTGACTGCAAACAGGGGTTTTTAACCAGAGCAAGCTGGAAAGGAGTTTTCCAAACAAGATGCAATCGTGCATCTTGGGCTGCGGGAGGGAAGAAAATCATTGCCTGTTGCCAAAGCCATTGCAGTGAGTCACAGCCCTGCAGGACCAGAGCCATCCGACAACAATAGCGATCCGGCAGTTCGCATCTGTGAGTTAAACAAGCTCATGAGCCCTAAAAATAAACCTGCTAAGCTGCTGAAGTCGTATTTTCCTACCAAATTTCCTGCTGAGCTGTTCCAACCATCATTCGACCGCATACTGCCTCATTGATAGACCTTTGTGGTTTATTGCAGGCAAGGAGATTTAATTAGCGAGCGAGGAAGCAAGGAATTCCTGTTGGTGTTTTTGCGAGGGGGGAGCTGGAGGGAAGGACAAATGAGACAAATTATGAACGGTGTGAGTGTTTTCCTGGCATCAGAGCCACCTCGGGATAAATGTGATCCTATGAAACACACCTCCTTCCTCTGTGGGTCTCCTTTCCTTCCCTTCATACAGCGTGGTTTAAATAAAGAAACATCTGCAGAAACTCTGCAGCAGATGAGCCCTAATCAGGTGAAGATAAACACACATGTAGGGTGCATGGAGAGGTGTAGGACAGCAAGGGCTTTGTGAGCAGGGGGTCCCAGGCTGCAGAATGGAGCTGGCAGGGGTTTCACAGAGCTGAATGTCTGTTCCCAACGGGGAAGCATGCTGCAGCACAGACACAGCCCAGGGAGTGCCATGGGAAAGTACACACTGAATATCACAGCACAAAAAGGAATATACAGACGTCTGAGAAAAAAGGAAATGCTATGAGAATCTAGGCAGCAGATGTATGGGATGAGTTGCTGATAATGCGAGGATATTTGTGGTGTGAGCAGTTTACAGCAAGAGCCAGAATTACCCTTTGGTTCCACAGAATGACTTTTTTTTTATGCGTGGGAGATTTCAGAAGCAGACCCTGTCTGTGTCTTCCTGTCTGTGCGTAGGGACAATCCAAGGCAAGACAGTCACAGCCCCAACCAGGGCTTTGTTTGGGAAATGAGCTATCAGGGTCCCCTTCCCAGGAGGTGCTCTCTGGATGCCTCCTGGAGCAGGAGAACTCAACCTCTGCTAATGCCAGTAGAAGACCCAGTCTCTGTGCAACCACAACGATTCACATTGTGCTGCTTTGCTCTGCCACCATTCAAAGCAGTCTCTATCTGTTAGCAGCACTACAGCAGCGTCAGTGCCTCAAACAGGAAATCTGCATCACAGGGCTCTGTGAGCAGCAGCCACTGCTGTCAGTGCTGCTCCTTCCCCTGCTCTTCTGCTGGATGTCCCACCTGGAGGGGATGAATTACAGATTTAAAGCAGCTCCTCATAAAAACCGCTCCGTCCCACTGCTCCAAGAGGGAAATTTCATCTGCTGAAGCTGAGCAGACAGTTGCAGCTGGAGAGGGGTGAGACCAATGCCTTGCACAGGATATATTTTTACTGGCTTGGTCTCCCTTGGCTGCTACAGCAAGAAACCTGAGGGCTCTGGGCAAGGATCAGGCATCAAGTTTACTTCCTTTTCTTGCAGAGTTTAAAGCAAAAGAGCATATTTCACTCTGCCCTCTCATGAAAACATACTAAGCACATATAAATATATTCATTTTGCCATAGCTATGCATGACTGCGGTGGATAAAGACCAGAGACAGGGTCTGGTGTCTGTCTATCATTGACATTACACTGGATGGCTTCAAATACAGAGTTCCAGAGATAGGTTGGAGAACACTTGCAGGAAGAATGTAACCAGCTAATTGCTAACGTGCTTGGCTGAGGGCTGGGAGGGAACTCCAGGGCCTGAGCAGAGCTGATGAAAGCTGCACCTCTCAGCTGTGTAACACCACACCAGAGCCATGGGGTGCTTATCAGATCCAGGCAGGTTGTGCAGCCCAAGGTCACAGCTAACCTTGCACAGAGCAACACAGTTCAGCTGCAAGCTCACACCATGCCAAGAGCCTTCCTGCTCCAGCTATTTCACAGTGCTAAGGAAAACAGTGCCTTAGAATCACAGAACCCCCAAAGTTGGAAGAGAACTCCAAGGTCATCCAGTCCAACCATCGACCTGTCACAAGTATTTCCCATTAAACCATGTCCCTTAGTGCCACATCTACATGTTTCTTGGTCCCTCCAGGGGCAGTGACTCCACCATCTCCCTGGGCAGCTCATTCCAGCACCTGACCACTCTTTTTGGAGATGAAATTCAAACTTTCCATCTCCCCAGCCCATACTGCAGTGGTGAAGCCACAGCATTTCACACAACAGCTCCAGATCTCAAGTGGTCACAGACTGCCAGGTTGCCACTTCTCAGGGACAAATACACTGGTAGTCAGCTTGTTTCTGACTGGTGCTACTCTTCACATTTTCATGTGAACATGAAAAATGAGGAAGGAAGCTTCATCTGCACAGAGAAAACATTTCAGCTATGGGAACACAGGATAAATGAAAATGCAAAGGGATGCAGATATCCAGGGGTTGAATTACTGAGTTAACCAGCAAGCTCCAGTCACATTTTGGAGACCATCCTAGAAAAGGCCATTTATTCCCAGCACCATAGCAACAGAGCATTGGTTCATGTTGTAGTTTTGTGCCTCGAGCAGGAAATCAGGGGAGGAATTCTGATTATAAGAGAGCACTGCTGAAGATGTGTCTGGATAAAAAGCCTTTTCTGCAGGGGGGGTATAGGGTGGAGAAGACAAGCCAGCTCCCTTTGTTTCTCAACTCATAGTCAAGCCCTAATCCCATACATAGAGCCTGGCAAAGTTGGATTTCCATAGCAACTCTCTCAGGACAGCAGAGAAAGCTGGCAAAGGGGGAAAGGTCATGATTTAAATACCTTCTTGCTACTACAAGAAACTGGATGCCAAACACGCAGAATCAACTGCATGTTTAAGATGGATCTATTTACAAAAAAAAAAAAACTCCTCCAATGTGAAACCCATCCTTTTAGGATATGCACCTTCTTGGCTTCACACAGCATCCTACACACTTTACCTTGCTTCTGAATGACCACAGCCACCCCACTGCTTGCTTTTGCTCAGATCGAGCTGTGCTGCAGACAGGACTGAAGCTGACTCAAACACAAACCTTAACAGCCCTGTGTCCCAAAGCCAAAGGGAAAAATCACCTTTGGAGAGCTCTGCTGAGCTGTCCTGGAGCTATCACAGACCTTGGAAGAATGGAGCCCTAGTTCAGAAGCCAAGTTGAGATGCCTGTTCCATATGCACACTCTATTTATAAATCAAAATTGAAACTGTTTTGCATAGGGTGTTTTTTCCAACCAACCATGGAGATAACAGCTTTTCCTTTAAGAAGCAATAAAAGCCCCCCAGATGCTGCTTTGAGCACTCAAACAACAACAAAAACCAACACAACAACAACAACAAGGCATCGAGTCTCAAGTTTGCACACCTGCATTCGGACACACGAAGCAGCAAACCACCACCTGCCCTTAGCACAGGGCTTCACACACAAGCACTGCTGCAGCTGAGTGCTGACAACACCATTTTATTCCCCCTTCTGATGGCCAACACCTCCATCTAGCAGCAGGAAGGAGGCAGCCAGACATTTGCTGTGAGTGCCCAGGTGTGCTGGGTTTTTTACTTCGGATGCCCAGTCATCCCATTGCAAACGTGAGATGTCAGCAAAACAACAAATTTGATTCCAGTGCCAGATCCCTAAGGCAACAACAGTGCTATTACTCCAAAATATAAAGATTTTAGACAGTGTCACTGCTTGTCTGTGGCCTTTGAAGCTCTGGTGCTCATTTCAAGTGAGAGCTGAGGTTAGGATAAGTGTCCTCCAGCATCCCTCTCCCAGTTCTCTGAGGCATCAATACAATAGCTCATTAGACAATGTGACAAACAATAACGCAGACTATTCCAGCTCAAAAGACAATAGGACATCTTTTCCTTCCAGCCTTTGTGAACATTAGAAGCATATGTCTGAAAGTGGCATCTCCACAGCCAGCAGCTGTCTCCTTACCTCCACTCCACAGGCACGATGCTCAGCACTATGGGATGTGGTCACTGAATGATGCCATACGAGGTCTGCAGACCAGCACGACTCCTTGCACACATTACAGGACTGATGAGGCCAGGGAGGAGAGTCATCACAACACTTCTCTGCCCACTGTCTGTTGGAGGACCCTGGAAAAGAACAGGATCGTTAGCAGCCAGCATCTGGGTACGTGTTGCTTTGCAGGCACAGAGATGTCAGCTGCTCCTGGGCCCTGCTTACGGTCCTATTCCATCTTTGGAGATTAATTTAGTCCTGGAAATCAAACCAGATTCTGCCTGACAAATCATGCTCCCAAAACGCATCTCCTCAAGTTACCTCTTAGCCACCTAATTTGATTTTACCCAGTTAAATGCATTACCCTGCATTAAGGAATCAGAACTAAGCCTGACTGCTAACACAGGCTGGACAGATGTCTTGAACGCTCCCATCAAATTAAAAGGGAGAAAGAGAGCTTGAAGTCTTCCTATGTCCCCAAAGAAATAGAGGTTAGAAGAAATAACAGAAGGGGAGAACAGGAGAAAGATGTGAAAGTGCCAGGTGAGCTCAGGCAAAGGAGGAGTGGTAGAGCAGAAATAAACCTGTCAAAGCACAAGGCAAGGAGAGCACTAGCTGGAGAGAAAAGATAATGGGGCAGAAGAGGGAAGTGGTGTAGAACAGACAGGAAGGAAAAATCTGGAACTTAAAGGCATGAACTCAGAAGAAAGGTTAAACCATAGTGAGTCACTTGTTTGCATCCCTCAGCCATCACATGCTGAAGCTCTCCTACAGGGCAGACACTTCTGAGTCCAGTTTTTCCTTGTGAGACCCCACATGCAATGATGTAACGTGGCCCAAGAGAGCAGACCATTGCCACTCCATCACTACTTGCACATGCACAGTAATTCCTAAAGAAGCACCTCCCAGCAGGAATTCACCAGGTTATTATTCTACTGCAAGCTCATTACAACACTAATTCCAATTATTCTCTCCCATCAAGGAGACATGAAACTTTCCATTTTATAGGGTGGGAGTATCAACTCTACGTGAATTCCCAGAACATGCACACTCCCCATCTCCTTTCCTGCTCATCCCATTGCAAGGGCAATACAGCAATACACCCTGCAGGAAACATCTGGGAATTACTTCTAGTTCTGCACTTACTGCCCTTTGGAATAGGGCTTCTCCAGTTAACCACTATGAGGCTGAAAGCACTTTGCTAAGACCTGTTCACAGCATTTCTGGGTCTTCAGCTGCCTCTCCCAAATGAAGAGCAAAACATGAACAATTTCCTATTCTTTTGTTCCTGCAAACATCTCTCAGAACCTTTATTTTGTAAGGTAATCATTGTAAAAGCCTGACCACTGAGCGTGGTAAAAGATGCTCCTGGGTTTATTGGGACCCATTTACAAGGAGAGCATTCCCCAGTGACAAATGATTGCATCCACATAGCCAGTTCTTCTCCGCTGCCTAGAGAAGCAGGGCTGCATTCTGCCCTTGTATCATACAGAGAAACTGCCCAAGGTAATGGTCAAGCTCATGGCAACAGATTGACAACAAAACCAGAAGCCCAGCTGTGAGGGCTGGACCCAAAACTGCTAATTGACATCGGAATCCTGGTCCTGCTGAGAGCAGCAGCAGAGGGCAGCCATGGGACACGGAAGGAAGATGCAATCAGAAGCAAAAAAAAAAAATATGCGGGACTGAGGGTTTCCTTCCACAAATTCATCTCCTGACAGAAAGCCGAGGGTGCTTTTAGAGGAAAAATACTGCTGGTACCCATGTGACCCTGTGAGTAAAGGAAATAAGGAAAAACAACCATTAAGGGACCTTCAGAAAGAAAACTGCGCTCATCTGAAATCTTCTCCAGGCCAATGCGAGGCACTTCAAATCCTAATGACGCCCACAGCCAGGATTTATTTCTCTACAGCTGCTCCTGAAGGTGTTCTCCCTCTGAGCTGCTTTTGTCCCTCCCTTGACACATCCCTTTGACAAAATGTTTGCTGCTCCAAAGCCCCAAAATGGCTTTTCCCATTGCATCACCTTGAGCTAGGAATGAATTGCATTTTTATAGAGGAAAGGAAGATGAGATTTTAAGCATGGGGGAAGAAATAGTTTTCATTTCTTGCAAGCCACCACACAGAAAAAGGATTAGAAGTGTTCACTCTGTTTTTAAAATTGAATACTGCCAGTGTTGCATAAGGCACATACTGCCATCGTGTGTGCAGGAAGGAAAATGAGAGAAAGCTCTGACTTGAGCAGCCCCACAGCTGGGAAGCCACTGTTTTCCAGATCCTCAAGCAGACCCAGGAGCAATGCTCCAGCTGCACCTGCCTTCCAGCACTCTCCCTGCAGTTCAGAGTCATTCTTTGACAATAATAGCCTTAGTTATTATGGCGGTGTAATGCTATAATGGGATGATAATTGCAGGGTGGTAAAGCCTTCGGCTAAAGCAAATGAGAACAAGCCCAAATGCAGCAGCCACAAATACAGAAAAGAAAGAAAAGAGCTGCTTACCTTTGAAAGGCCTCAGGCAGGGATCTCCAGCAAGAGATGCCCTCACCTCCACTGCCAACCCTTAAATGAGGGCTGGGAAGGGGTGGATCCTGCCTCCATCCCTTCCATCTCTCAGTACACTGCATGCACCTGAGCTCCCCTGGGTTGGTCCTACCTTCCCACCAGGTGCTCCATCACTGCTTCAGCCCCTAAATTAGCATTTCCACTGCAGGTGGCAGAGACTGAACTACACACCTATAGATGCTGGGAATTAGAGTGAGGCTCTTGAAAAAGGTACAGAAAGCACTTGCTGATGACTTTCCTTATTAACCCCCTGAACCATAGCATCATTGTCCCAAAAGGAAACTTGGCCATTCTAGGAGAGTTTTTCAGAGCTTATTACAACAAGATGGACAGAGTGATTATTACTTCAGAAGGCTGAACTACTCATGTCTTCATAATTGAAGAGAGTTGATCAGGGACATTAAGAGAAGGGGCAATCTGAAAGACCCCTGGATTCACATGACAGCTGATGTGGAACTCAGCTCCCAAGCGCACACAGAAGTGGTTAAAACTGAGAGAAGAACCATCTGCTAAATGTAAACCCAAAGCAAATGATTTATTCTTTGAGGTTTGCAAGAACAAAGTTCTTTCTGCCCCTCCAGCTTTCACACCTCTTAGAAAGTCATTACGTCATTCCATATTGAAAGTACCAGCGGTTTGCTTGGACCTGCTAACATCACTGTCACAGCACAGGCTTTTCCCTTTTCTAATTAAGCACAGTCCTGAGCAATTAAGGGCAGACAGCACTCGTTGTTCAGGACACGATTGGCACCTGGAAAAAAGCATTTTTAATTCTATATCAAGAGCAGAAGGAGGATAGGAGGGAGAAAGAATGAAAGAAGAGATGGATGGAAAAGGTGGTCTCAGGTGGAAAGTGTAGGCCTGAAACAAGGTTGTTGTGAGGGATAAAGGCTTCTCTAGAGAACAATGAAAGCTTTCAGAGGCAAAAGGAAAATGTAGAAGAGAGGTAAAGAAAATGAAACAGAAAATGAACAAAATGAGAGCCAGCATTGCAGAAAGAGGACTGGAAACAAGTGGGCGATGTAAAGATAAAGGTGTTCTGCCTGTGCAAGGGGAGGTTTAGGCACCAAAGGGGGCAAGACGACAGGAGGACTGGTTAGAAGGAAAGAAATGAGAAGAGATGGAGGGCTTGAAGACTGGGAAAGGGAAGATACGGGGAAGGCAGCAAAGAGCAAAAGGAGGAAGGTGGAAAGGAGCACATCTTTGTTGCCAGGAGAGCTACACGGAGGGCAGCATCAGCATACAGGGCTGTTGTACTGCGTGGGCTGACAAAAACAAGAAGTGTCCGTGGGTTCAGTTAACAGACTGCTTCCTTCAGAAACCGCCGCTGAGGCACAGGGGCTGCTGGTGGGGGTGAGCCCTCACCACAGCAGCCCCATCTGCAGACACCCGCTGCTTCCCCCCACCACAATGGTGCTGCTAAGATGGCCGCGGGGGACCTTCCGCCCCAACAGAGCTCTGTGAGCAGCAGCTGAGGGCAAATGGTCTCGGAGCAGCACTTGGGTGCACACAGAGCAAGCAGTGGCCCCTCCCTTGCTGCTGGGAGCACCGCTGCCACCGTTTCCTCCATCCCCACCACCCCCTGCCTGCTTGGCCACCATTTTCTGAATGGCATCACCACACTGGGCCTGCAGCTGGGAGAGCTTGGCATTATCTTTAGCAACTGCACAGAGCAAGAAGCATGGGGGAAACTGGCAGTTTTGGTGTAGTCCCACACACATCTTATTTCCTGCTCCATGTCGTCTGCTCCAGCAGTTCAAGACAGGAACAGCCTTCAGTAATCCATGTTGAATGCTGTATGTACAAATGCTTTCATTTCACTGAATTTCAGTAGTAGACATCATAGCCTGAGGCAAATAATTGCCTACAGAAGATGCTTTAATATCTGAAATGGAACCGAAGCTCATTGTTACAAATAGTCACATAATCAGGTTAAAAGGGAAATAAGTTTTGACAAAGTCAAGTTCCTTCCTGTTCTGAACACACGTGTGCAGCAAGGGAAAGTTCATTTAGCCTGGGCTTGAAGCTGAAAAATAATCTTAAAATAGCAAGCGGGCCCCAGAAGATAAGAAGTCATAATTATAATTAACCCCTAAATGCAAGTGTATGAAGCTGAAATGAGCTCCACAGCCATGTTTGCCATAGAGCAAGTAGTGGTCAGATGTTGTCAGGGAAAGAAGCCCATCAGCAGCAGTATCACAGATGTAAGGAAGAACAGCAGTTGCACAGCTGTTCTGAGGGCACAGCATTGAAGGAGTACAGTGCTCAGTTCCTGCTCTGACCCTCAGCCCAGGTACACCTGGCTAGGCTCAAAAGGTGTTTAACAGCTCACTTAGGTGGAAATTAGGACCTTAAATCCCAAACCAAGATCCCACAGTCTCTTGTACTTCTGCTGCCTGAACTCTGTAGGCAATGCTGATCTTGACCTTTCATTAGCTCTAAACAGAGCACGTGACACAACTTACATAATCTTAGATGCTAGTTAGTCATTTAGGGTTTCCCTTTAGCCCCCAGAGAAAAACAAACAAAATGGCAAAGTTTATCTTCGAGAACAGGCAACTAAAACAATCATACCACATCCATACCCATTTCTCCTTGGTAACCAAAGGAGCCCAAAGCTCTGCTGCATGCCTGAAGCAATGGAAACAATCAACTCTGCATTTTTCTAAAGTATGATGGCCTTGATTCTTAATCAAGCACAGAGTGCTCCTTTGGGCCCCAACAGGACCCCTACAAACCCTCCAAGGACTCTCCCCAGGACAAGGTACCTGCACTGCATAGCTGATGTCTATCCTAGTGATGTGACCAGAGGTGATGCTGGAGATGAGCATGGCTGCACCAAAGGCAAGAAAGAGCTGAGAGCCTTGGCCTGAGCTTAATTAAATAGAGCCATGAGCAATTGTGGGGAGCCCAGGTGAGATTGCTCAGGGTTATTAAGGGATAGCATAATAATTAGCAAAGTGATTTTGTAATTGGGTGCAGCTGCTGCTAAGTGTCACTGCTGTGAGGCTCTGCCTGTGGAGTCCTGAAGCCTCTCAGACTTCTATACAAGAAACTGAGTGACTGTTACATCAAGCTTCCCTTTGGCAGGTCCCTAAAAACCCTGCTTCCCTTTCCAGTAAACCGACATTCTGTTAGCACAGCAGATGCCTCTTCATTCTCCTCACCACCACCACAACTGTTGACCACAGGGAAAGAATGTGGCCTTGTAAATGTGAGGCTGACCCTCAGCAAGTCTCCCTGCCTTTATCTGAGCTCAGAGACAGGACACGCCTGGTCACAATTTTTGATGACAATCTTCACCTCCCACAGTGCAGCCCTGCTGCATGCTGTTGTACACTATGCCCACTGATGGCTGATGTAGTGAGGAGGCCCTGCAAAAGCAGGGGGAGGCTGAGAGGAACGTGGATTTCCACTGCAGGAGCCATCAACCACAGCTTTGGCAGCAGTGAGAGCCAAGCCCTGAGCAGCTTCTGGCAAAGCTGTTGGGCTGGTGTGAGGAGGTCCCTGCTTCTTCCTGGCCACCTCCAGCTGTGCCAGGGCTGGCACCTGAGCAGCTCCCCCAATCCTCTAGCAGTGCTTGGCACGAGGCTTTGATCCACCTCATCTGTAGCCCTTCTCAGACTCTTTCCAAGACTGCTTATTAAAAAAGCCCTAGCCGGAGCAAAGGAAGGATGGCACAGCACAGGAGCCAGCCCTAGTGACTGTTAGGTTTGGGATAGCAAGCACAGGAGTGAGGAGGTCTCCCTGTCCTGCAATGCAGTGTGTGCATCCCAATGGCGTGCCAGCTGACTTTCTATAGAGATTAAATAGATAGAGAACCAGCTGCTGTTTTGGAAGTGATTTGAGGCTGCCATGGTATGCTGGACTCATTCTGGTTTTATGAAGAGTGAAAGGCCCTAAAATCTGTGAAGACCTTTTAGCAGGGCTGTGTGGCGATACGCTGGTTTGGCACAGCTGCATCCATCAGCAAAGCTGCAGAGCAGTGAGCCTCTGCACGTGGGCTTCTCTCATCAGGCAGGCAGCTGCAGAGGCAGAGCTGCATAAACACGGATGGGAAAGGCCGCGTGGGTAAGGAGACCAAGAACACGAGAGATCAGAAGCCTTTTGTCTCGGTTCTTTGTGTTTCTTGCACCCTTTGTGCAAAACAGTGCTAATAGCACTGTCCTGCCTGATGCTGAGCCGTTAAAGGTCAGTGGGTGTTCAAACAATTCATCGGGGATGTTAACATAAACACACAAACGAGTCTGTACTTCATCTCACACCTCAGGAGGGTCCCAAACCTGCTGTCTGGGGAGCTAGTAGCAGTCACAGCTGCATGAAGCAGTGTGGGCTGTAAAGCTGCCCGCAGCACTGCGTTAAATATATGGAGGCAGCACAGCACAGAGCTGCACCATTACTGCTGGTTGTGCTGGAGCTGAGCTCTGAGAGCAAGGTGTGCTGCAGCAGCTGCACCGTGCTGTGCTCCATGGGATCATCCAGAGCTGGTGGGGTTCCCAGTTGGGGCAGTCACACCTCAGTCACACCTCAGTCTAATAAAGGCAGTGGGGAGTGCAGGACAAGTTTATACAAGAGGACAGAGGCCTCCTAAGCACGTTAATCCAAAGCAAAAATGTTGAGAACAAATGTGAAAGCTCAGTGAATCCGGACCAGGTAAACCTGTGTTCATGCAGCTGCTTGGTTGGTGTTCTAGTGTTAGCAATCTTTTGCCAAATTTACTCTTTTAATGAGAAACAGGCTGAGAGAAATGTGTATTATTCTTAAAGCTCAGTTTGGTGACCTGCACAAGGAAATCTCTCAATTGCCTTCACCAGTGATCAGCTTTCCATCAGCAACCTCATGGCCAAGCAGCCAAAATGAACTTGAAATAAGGACCTGGGCTTCTTAGAAGTGGTTTTGATTGAACAAAGGTACCAAAATTGCAGCCAACGTTGCCACGGATGTACCAAAGAGCTGCAGGCACTTTGTGTTCCCACCTGGGTCCATGGAGTTGTGCCACAGGCCCTGAGCTGGCCCTGCTCGGGGCAATTCCTGCCTCAGTCCAGCTGGAAAGAGCTTCACACTTAATGGGGAACTTAGGTGGCCCCATGAGCCCAGCACACGTCCTGACAGGATCAGGCTCCACTCAGAAAACAGCTGCAGAGATGCTTAGGCTAAACAAATGGAAGCCATGAGCCTGGCAGCTGTGGTGGTGCTCATTGTCTGCAACGCCATCGGAGCTGGCATTCAAGGTGGGCTCCCACCCATGCCTCAAGGGAGACTGCCCTCAGTCAGTTATTCACTGCAAAAAGGAAGGGTGCCCTCTCCACCCTTCCTTTCGCAGCTCTTCCAGTTGTGCTGCCAAGAGTTCAAGATACACTGAGTCAAACAAAGAAGGGAAAGGTCGCACTGTGGGCTCAGCTTTTCCTCTGAGCATCTTGCTTTGCTCTCCCGAGGAGCCTTCATCCCTGGGGCCAGAGAAGAATCCCATGAGATGCAATGAATGGAGCGTGCTTCACTCTCCCAGCACCAAGCATAGAAGTGCCTGCTGTGCAAGGCACATCTGCTGGCTGATATGCTGGCTGTAACCCCAGCACACATGGGCGGAAAACAGCCACGTACGCCTTGGGCCAGTTTCAGAAGAAAGTTATATATAGCTGTGCCTGCAAAAGTAGCTATGAGATGAAGGGCAGCCCAGACTTAAACATGTAATTTTCAAAATATAGCTGTAACAGTAGAGGCTGTTGGCTACGGGAGGAGATGAGTTCAGATCTTTATGGGAAAGGGCTCCCATTTAAACAGCACGGCAGTGGAATTTAAATGCCCTGCCTCCATCTTTTGGCATAGAGGACAGAAAAACAATGACTTCTCTCAGCTGCAGAGCTCCTCTGGCTTTAATTTATGTTTCAGGAAGAAAAAATAATATATTTTCTGCCATCACCCATTCACTCCTCAGGAGAATAAGTTTAATTACTTTTGCCAGTTTTAACAAGAAACCACATTGCCAGCAAATAGCAAACATTTCCTGCTTGCAGGTTTGGCCTGTGAAGTCAGTCCCGACTCTCTCTCCCTGCTCTGCAGCTCAAAGCAGATTTCATCATCCGGTGGCTGTGCCCAACCCCATCTCAGTGCCAGACTACTCAAACTCACCATCCCTCCATCCTCCTGCAAGTTGCTCTGTTCCCTGCTCAGGATTTGCTCATCCCTTTCAGCACACAGCACTTCCTACCTGCCAGAGCTGTCTGAACACGGGTAGGTCACCCACAGCTGCTGTCAGAGTGGTGAAGCCCTCCCCAGCCCTGGCCATACCCCTCTCATTCTCTCTCTGGAATTTGGCTGCTGCTCTGACACGTATTGCATTACAGCCACGCGCTCCAGGGAGGGCATCTCTTTCCTTCCTCTGAAGCATCTGCTGAGGCTGCTGACAGAAGGCAGGACACTGCTCTGATGAAGCACGATGCCTTCTGCTCCATGGCAATCTAATAAATACACACTAATAGAGCTAACTTGAAATCCCTGATACAGGCTGTACGGCTCTTCTCCCAGTTGTTAGTCCTCCTTCCAGTCAGAAGGGGAGAAACACGAATCCCTCTGATATCTTTGCACCCCGACACCTTTGTTCTGCTGAGCAAAGTTCTCACATCACCGTGCATGCCTTGACCACAAACCAGGGTTGTTTTATTTAAAAACAAAGAACTGCCTCATCGTTCTCAAAAAAGGACGGCTGCTCTGTGAGTACGTGAGCGGCAGCTCCCCGAGGCAATCAGTTTTATCATCTACAGTGGCGAAACTTGTTTTTATCTATGTGCAAAGATGATGAGAAGTAGGGATGGGGGTGACGTCGGTGTGGAAGAGAAACCTGAGAACTGCCTGCAGGTCTGGGAAACGTCTGCATTTTGCTTACAAAATGCAAACAGAAAAACACACCCCAAAGGGCTTCAATACAGCTCAGCAAGGCAAGCAGACAAGCAAACCAAAACCCACAGCCAGACACAGCCTGATCGTCTGGCCTGAAAGGAGAAATTGCAACAGCTGCATGCAAAGCACTCTGCTGTTTCACAGCCAGAGCCCACAGCATGCTGCCGTTTGCGCTGCACTGCTGCCCAGGGGGCAGGAGGGCTGCTGTGCTGCTTGGAAGTATGGGGCTCTATGCCATGCCCTGTGACCAAAAAGCATCTCCCACCGAGTTCAGGGTGGAGGAGGAACAAAGCATATTCTCAGCCTGGCTTTCTGAATGCTTTCTCTCTTTAACTAACCTTTGGGATGTCCTATACATGGAGCCCACCCAAGAGGTTTGGATGACAAGGCATTATCCCAATCTCCAGGCTGGATGTGGCTCTGGGGAGCCTGGTCTGATGGTTGGTGACCCTGCCTGTGGCAGGGAGGTTGAAACTAGATGATCGCTGTGGTCCTTTTCAACCCAGGCCATTCTATGATTCTATGATTCTATAATCTCAAAGGTTTTCTGCCAAATCTCCCAAATATTCTTAAAGGTCTTCATTTGAAAGCAACAAAACCTGAATTTTATACGGCAGGCAGAAGCGTGAGAGATGCTTGGTTCTTCAGGGGGTGCAGAATGGTGTGATCTGGCTTCTTAGTGTTAGCTAAACATGCAGTGTGCATGGGAAGTCATCTGCAAGAGGTGTTTGTCATTAATGCCCTTAGTGTTTGCACACACAGCTCAGATGCACCTCGAGCAGAGCTGATTTCTGTGCTAGAATTAAGCAGCATGCCAGCCCTAGGAACTGTGTGCAGCATTTGCACTGTGTGCAGACAGCTGGAGCTCTGCCCTCAGCCCCAGTGAGCAGGCAGGACTCGAGGCAGTGGGTCAGACACTGTGCACTTTCCCTCTGCACATGGCACTGTAATGCAGAGGGGAAAATAAACTTACAGTGACTCAAAGGAAGCAAACGTTTCCTTCTCCCTGCTCATTAGTCCTAGATGTAATCATTTATGCATAAAAGCAGAGACTTGGACTTCAATCCTTTAGGGCAGCCAATAACCCAGCTTCAGCAGTACAGTATAGGGAACTGGTGGTTTGATATAATCCATTTTAAGGGTAGAAAATTTAAAAAAAAAAAAAAAAGAGAGAGAGAGAAACTTAAAAGGTAGAAAACAGTGATAAAAAAGAAAGAAAAACAGATGTAGCTGAGTCGTGTCATCCCAGAATTTGAAGGGTGCTCTTTGTTTGCTTTAAACATGGCACAACTGCAGAAAGCTGTAGATATAATTAAGATATTGTGTTGTTTTTCCTTTTCAGTTGTCACAGAAAAACCGTATCTGGTGAGTGAAAGACAAAACTAAGCAAGAAAATAGGGCGGGTGGGGAGAAGGAGACGACCTAAATACAGACATACTGGAGAAACCATCAAAAGGAGAAGTTGTGACTGAAACAAATCATCAGGGCCAATGCACTGCCATTGCCAAGGAAATCTTGACTCCTCTATCCAAACGAAACTGCCCATAACCGTACAGGCTTACTCACTGCTTCCAGCACACAGATGGAGCTAACAGCCCCCGTGAGATGTGAGCAAAGGACAGCACTGGCCAGGCTGGGAAGCAGCCCCAGCACTGACATGCATTCCCTTGGCTCCTGCCCTCCCATCGATGCGAGAAGCCCAAATCCACCTCTTTGTGGGACACCACAGCTCCTTTCCAATCCCCTTCCCAGATCTCCTCTGCCTGTTTGCCTGGAGCTTGCTGTTCTGCAGGACTTCAGACGGAGCCCTCCATGCCCACAGGAAGGAGCAGCCTTGGCACCAGTAACCAGCAGCGCTCAGCTTTGGTGGAGTCCAAGCAGTTCAGCAGTTTGGCAGCTTGTTACACGCTGCAAGAATGACAGCTTACCTAGGTCCTTTATAAGCAAAAGAGGAGTGCTAGGAGCCTCTACCAGCCAGCAGCTCCCCCAGGCAGAGCTGGAACATGACTTCGTTATCGATGGCTCTGTGGTAGTTGCTGATGTCATCAAACTTCTTTTTTTTTTTTTCTTGAAGAGGTTTACATCCTGATAGCTAGGCATGTGCTGGGATGGGTGTTTGTGTCCATAAGGCACTTTGTTTGTCTTACAGATCCCCCGACCAGCCTTGAACCGCACGACTTGAAGGAATGGTGGCAGCTCTGCACAATGGCTGCAATGCAGAGCTCCCTTGGGAAATAACCCAATTGTAATGCAGTCCCACAGAGTGTTTCCATCGCAGTCCTACTGCTCCCTCTTCGTGTAGCTGTACCCCCACCTGCATCCCCATCAACCCTTTCCTGTCTGGGCTTCAGGTAGTGCTTTCCAGCCTGGATTCCTCTTGGCCCTGTAGGTCAACAGCAGCATCAATGGCTCCTTAGGCTTCAGCCCCTTGCTACATAGGACTCTGCAGGACAACCAGTGAAGTTACAAAGAATTTCATTCTCTTTCAGCTGCAGGTGGCTTTGGTTTAGGGCAGGATGTAGGAATGGACCTTGTATGGGATTAGCATTAGTGTCGTGCCTCTTCCAGTACTTCAATACGTCAGTTTAGCTGACTTGCTCTGACTTTTGCTGTCCCCTGGTTTGATTTGCATACCAACCTCACTTGTGGACGTTAGCAGCCTGACCTCAGTCTTGTCAACTGATTCCTGTTTTTCAATTTATTCAAGACCTCTGCTAAAACATTTGCTGCTGCCTGCCTCGCTGAAGTGAAAGGGGAAGCACGGTGAAGGACAGGAGTGGAGGGGCTCATGGCTGCTGGGAGGGTATTTTCCAGCCTCGGGAATCCCCCCGTGGAATTAATGCACTGTTTTTGTGTTCCAGTTCACATGAAAATGCTTGCCTTTCACTTCACAGCCTGCAGCATCACAGACAGCATTCAGGACATCAGCACACCAGTGGCTGCTGAAGCATCGTTGTTTTCCTTCCAGCCTTCTCAGTGTCTACTCCTCTGCCTTTCTGTGCATGCCAAAAGCATGCTGTGGCTCCAGCGCCTGTAGGCAGCATCACACAACGGGTGGGAACTTTTCTGGCCTGTTTTGCAGAGAGGAAGCAATGCAAAGATGCAAATAGCTGAGTTTAGAACCATGGATCTTCCCACACTGGTTTCATGAACTTTCCACAGCAGAGCCAGGCTCTTCAAAGCTACAAAACCTGCTGCCTCGAGCAGCAGCAACAGAGCTGTGGGGGATGCCCCAGTGATCCAGAACAGGTTGAAAGCCTCATTTTCTGAAAGCCAGCTACTGTATTCATGTAGGTTCTCAATGGCAACATCCTGAGGGCGTACTGCTACATGCCAGGATTGTGGCTTTCATCAGCACTCTTCTTCTAATTGTCTTGCCAATAGTAGGTGGTCAGTCACCAGCACTACGAGTTGCCATAGCTGGCAGGTGATTGCTGCAGGGCTGACCTGGCTCCTTTGATACGATGATCTGGTACTGGGAGGTGGGAAAAATCTCCTTGGACTGCATGACCTTGTAGGTCTTTTCCAACCTTGTGATTCCGAGACTCCATTGCTTACAACAGTGCATGAAGAGCTGAATCCTCACACAGAGCTCTGCAAACCCTCTCGTTCGTGTGACATTTACTGAGTTGGGCCCTCCGGGAGCAATGGAAACAAGGACAGTGCTCCCAAAGGCACACTGGGATGCATTCAGGATGTGGGCAGGTAAGGAAACACATGCAGGAGTGCTGGAGCTGCTATAGAGCATGGGTTACTTACAGCTGTAAGACACCCTTAGAAGCAGAACTTTTGCAATCCTCTTGGACAAAGCAAGCAAAGCAATTAAAACCATCATGCTATGACAAATAAGCAAGCATTCCCTCCTGGTCCCTCCCTCCTTTTCTTTCATTCACTCCAAAAAGCCAGAGGTACCGTGTTGGGGGATTTGGAACTGGGAAGGACAGCAAAGATGTTTCAGGCCAGGCAATGGATAAAGCTATTTTTAGTGGCATGGAAAATGCTCCTCAGAGGCTGTGGAGTGCTGCAGTGCAAGACACGTCCCCTCCTTCCTAGTTTCTGCTGAAAGAAGAGAACTTTAGAAGCAAACAGCAAAAACGAGAAAACAACCACTCCATTGAATGACTGCCTGTGGCTGCATTGGCAGCAGCATTTTCTTGGGGGAAAATCCCAGTGCCACCCAGTTTGGGGGGTCCAGGGACTCAGCTGGGGTGCATAGAACCTGGGGTGTGCTGCCAAGGGTTCACAGCTCCAACACACAAAGATACCACCAGGTACTCCAAAATTATTTCTCCCAGGACACCTACTTGTTACCTTTCCCCTATGGCTGTTTTAATTGTAATCCTCCAAGGCAGGAATGATTCCCATCATGGGAGAGGGGAGAGCTGGAAGCAGCGCATTTTGAAATGCTTGTCAGCGTTCCTCTTTCTGTTATCTGATAAAAAGGAGTTTAGAATAAATAATGTCCTTCAACGTCCACATCTGCTTTTCGCTTCCTGCTTGCGCTCCTATAAATAAATGATTATAACATGTAAGGGTGACGCACGCATAAAGATAATAACGTGATATATAACATGTGTTACATGTATCATATGTAATATAGAAAGATTAAAAGCCTCATATATAATTTTTATATAACACTGAATATATTGAATATGAACATTGAATATTTACGTAACACTGAATAATATTATTATAGTAATAATAATTAAACCCCCACAGCTTCCCAACCCCAGGCAGCGCTGGTGGCTGCACAGAGCCCAGGGGATCCTCCTCACTGCTGAAGCAGAGGACAGCAAGGTGAGCAGTGCTGCAGATCTCCCTGCAGTGTGTGTGTTCTGCCCTGGGTTCCAATTCCCACGTTATTGCTCGTGGCATTTTGCAGGAGCACAGCTCTCCTTTCCTACAGGTCATCCTGGTAGCAAAAGTTTCTGGTGAGCCAAACCAGTAACAGGAGCAATTTCCAGCATGGTACGCAAAATCAGGTGTTACCTATATAATTAGGGCAAATCTATGGGGAAAGCACCTCTGTAACCAGCATAACTGTCTATAAAATCCCTAGAGTATATTTGGTTTTATCAGCAAAAAACCCTCTTCCTCGCTCCCTGCCTGCATGATAACGCATAGGAAGCTGACACGCAGCACAGCAAGCAAGATCTCTATCCTCCAGGTTCACACACTGCCCTGTCCTAGCACTGAGCTCCCTTAGGAGTGGTAGCATGGAATTGGAGCGATCACCCAAGAGAGTTTTGACTGTATTATTTCAGCCAGCTCTTACAAAAGCCCAGACAACAAACATCCTTTTGTTTGGGACAGCTGAAAGCTGTCCCCACTTTGCAGCTGGGTCAGCTTCAGCGTGAAGAACTTCAGCAGAGCAGTTCTGCAGGTGCCATGGCTGGTGCTGTTAGAACTGCCGTGCTGTTGCTGTGCTTTGTGTACAACCACCTGCACTGAACACAGAACCGTTTGTGTGCAAATCGCTGAGCTGTTCCAAGCCTGTTGTGCAAGTAGAGCTGTTCACACATACGCAGTGCACTTCTACAATTTTTCTTTTTGGTAGAGCTCACTTTTCGAGGTGGGCAATGTGTTCCATGTACCAACGTGTGCTCTGGTCAACTCCATCTCTCCTTTGCCCAATTTGGCTCCAATTGGTCAGGCCTATGAGCTGAGTGAGGCTGAAAGGGCTGCAGATGGAGGCTCATGCAGATGTTCCACCTGTCAGAGAGGACAAGGGTTGTTTCCCAAATGTTGCTCAGGTCCATCACTGCTCCTGAGGTCCTTTCCCCAGTCAGGCTCTGCCTTGCTGAGCTGCAGCACTGAGTGGTGCCCCCATGGAACAGACAACTGCGACTGGATGAATTCCAGCTGCTACAACAGCTTACAAACCAGCTAAACAGGATGCACTGATAAACGCTGCAGTATTGGCCAACAGCTCAATATTGCTTTTCATCAAGTCCCTGTAAATGATTTTAAAAATAAACATCTGACAATCTCCTGACTCCTAGCGAGCTCCTTTGACAATTCGTGGAAGCAGGGCAGCCCATAAAGCACAGCAGGGCATTTTAAGGCGTGTTCATTGTGGGCCATAATCGCCTGAATTAGAGCCATTAGTTTTCCATCCTTTCATGCCCTTTGTCCCCCATCAGGGCATGGGCACAGCAACCTTCCCCTGCACACTCTTAAAACTCAACGGATTGGAGAACCAGAGGGCTGAGCCTCATTTACACCCAGAGTGAAGGTGAAGCGAGATTTCACCCCACTGCTGGAAAAACTTTAAGTAGCGCAACCACTCAACATTGCTGGCAGCAGCTTCAGTACGTCTAGTCTGAGCAGTCTGCTTATTAAGAACAAGAGAAACGTCAAGCAAGGCTCAAGCGAGATCTATAAAAAGCTATTGGGAAGTTGGGCTCTGCTGGGGACAGGAGTGGATGAGATGGAGCAGCCAGGGGCTGTGACTGAGCCCCTTGGTTGGGAGGCGAGGGCAGAGCTGATTGCAGGAACCTTGGGGTCATGTCCATGGTCAGCTCGGCGCTGTGCTTGGAAGAGAGGCATGGTGACAGTGCTGCTCAGCTCAGGACATCCTGCAGCATCACGAGGATCCAAGCCACCCTGGAGCCAAAACCCATGAGGACACATGAACCCCATTTGGGGACAACATTGCATGCACCCACCCAGGACTCAGCTCTGCAGGGCTGGGAACCCAGCAGTTGAGTCCCCCCAAAGCAGAGCCACACACCACAGGCACACATCAAAGCATCACCTTTGGGCAGGCTGTGATGTCACGCAGGTTGCCACGCTGGTGTAAACAAGGCTGGTGCGGTGCTGCAGCCGGCGCACTTCCTCCTGCCTGCAGCGCTGAGCCGGCTGGGTCACTGCCTGACGAGGTAAGGCTGCTTTTACTCTTTCTCTTTATGATCTAGAACAAGCATTAACGAGATTTTAGGGTCTCCTGAGGAGGCGTTGCCCTCCCTGGATTTTTCCCTGGGCTCAGGTCATGCAGGGAGGGGGTTTGGGAAGCTCTGGCTCTTGGCACAGCAGCCCTCCGAGAGCTCCAATCCTCTGCACGAGCGCATGCAGGAGGCACAACAGCACTGCATGAGGTTGCTGCCACCAGAGCAGGCAGAGGTTCAGCGTGGGCAGCTCCCGGTGCTCCCCAGGATCACTGCTGGGCCCGGATTCCTTCCTTTACCTGATTTCTCCAAGAATATCTTTGACTTTAAAACGGCACTCGGCAGTAAGGGGAACTGCAGCAGATCTGTTTAGGTTTCCTTTTTTTGCTTTTTTTTTTTTTTTTCTCCTAACAGTAATTTATATTGCCACTTAAGGAATAATAATCTCATGCTGCCCATGTGGCACCCATGCTGCCCTTTGCCTGAATCACAATGGCGGGACATCACTGCTGGAGGTTGGGGACACAGCGTGACATGCAAGTGGGCTGCTTGGATGTGGTTTTGTCCTCAAGAGTGCTGAGGCTCAGAGCTGCAATTTCAAGTTTCAACTGCAGCCAATGGCTAAAATTTAGCTAACTTCATTCACTGGTGCTTTTAAGCCATAGTTTGTCAGAGGAGCAATGGGATAGCATCCTTAGGAGGAGCTCAACAGCACAGCCCAGGGGCAGTTTGGCAGTGATGGATGAGATCCACATTGAGTGGATCCTAATCCTGAAATTTCTTAAAGCAAATCAAAATGGAAAAGCAAATCAAAGTACTGAGGGTGAGTCAGTGTCAAACTGGGCTTACCGCAGACCGGTGTCAGGGAGGACAGCAGCACCGGGGCAGCAGGTGGTGCAGAAGGAGAGAGCTGCTCCAGGCAGGGTTCCAGCTCCCAGCTCAGCCCTGGCTGGGCAGTGGGACCAATGATGTGCCCACACCTCCAGCACTGGGAATAGCACTGCAGCGTGGGGCTGTGCTGTCCAAGCCAGCTGTGGGAGTAGGAGTGAGAGCAGAACGCAAACCGAAATCTTCACAGCCCATTCAACAGCCCAGATCTGCTCCAATTTTCTTTGTTGTAAAAGAAAAACAGGAAAAAAAAAAAAAGAAAAGTACCTGTAACTGTAGGACTTTCCACTTGAGTGCAGAGGTTTCAGACTGAAGCGTGAGTGCAAAAGTGTGAGATACTCACAGCCCTAAAATGAGGACAGAAGAGTTTGTGCTGTAATCAGATCAACCTGCTGCAGGCAGGCAGCCAGCAGAGCACCGTGCTACGTTGAGATGAACCTCTTTTTCCTGGAAGTGCCATGTTGTGTTTCCAAATTATCCTGCTACGAGTAATTATGTGCATGCTTCATTCTTTCCCTGTTGCAATAGCCTCAGAAATACAGACTCCAGGGGAAGCAGCACTTAAATAACACTGCATAAGTCTACTACCAATTTTTTTATTATTATTATTTTATTTTTAAACTGCATATTAGGTGCTGTCTTCCCTCAATGTGGTGCGAGGGACCAACAAAAAACACTTTTTGACGTGACACATGGTGACAAGCGCTGATAAAATCAGCTCAAAAACTTCAGCCTTTGCTGATACTTCACATAGCAAATGCTGTCTGAACAGCTTTGCAGATAGGAAGCCCGATTGCAGGCAGCCAGGGGCATCTGTGTGTGTCTGTGTTTGTCCTTGGGGACAAAGGTGAGAGGGATGGAGACCCCCAGTCTGAGCAAAGGGGGGGAGGAAGGGGGCAATGCAGCTGTGTTTTCCTGGAAATGCCATGTTGTGCTTCCAAATTGTCCCACTACAAGTGACTGTACGCATGCTTCATTCTTTCCTTACTGCAACAGCCTCAGGAACACAGGCTCTGCAGAGCAGATCCCACAGGAACTCCCATAGGAACTCCACTCTTACCTGATGCGCCCCCTGGCAAAGCCTAAGGACACATCAAGGAAAAGAGGGCTGCATTTGAGTTAGGGAGCAGCAATACCTTTCCTTTCCCAAGAACCTTGAGATCAGGTTAATCACTCATAGCCACTGCTAAATTGCCTCCTGTGCAATTTGGTTGAAGGGATGGATTCATTTGTGGCAGAGTCATCATTCTCAGCACCCACCACGTGCCAACGAGCAGCAATCACCCATATGCACATTGATGGCATTAATGCTGCTGCACCCAACAGGGTCACCCCACTCAGTCCATGTTCTTGGACATGCCCAGCCCTGAGGCCAGTTGAGGCAGAGAAGAGGCTGTCCCCTGCCCCATGGCCCCAGTGCTGCCCCACGCACCCCCTGCCCACCAGTCACATCCTTACATTTGCTCAGGTAATGGAGCTGAGACATCTCCTGCCCCTTCATAAGAGGGTTCTGCAGCCTGTGGCTCTGAGGGCTGAAGCTCCCAACCTCCACTGTCTCTAAGTAAACACCAGGGATAAGAGTACTAACTCCCAGAGCATTTTTTCCCCTAATGCCAGCATTCTTCTTTTTGGGATCACCCTAGAAGACAGCAACACAAAGTCATGAGGATGTGGCCACACCACCACCTCTGCCCCTCCATCTGTCCTATGGGTTTAGAAAACTGCCCTCAACTGAGCAAAGAAGAGAAGTTTTGATTAACTCTGACACCTTGTGGACAATTAGCAGATGAGGACAAAGCCTGGGGGGATCTCTCTGTGTAGGGGGCTCCACCATGGGCTCAGGCTGCTGCAGCCCACTGGTGCCCATCTGGTGTCTGGACACAGCTTGCTGCCATCAGAGCATGAAGGCTGAGATGTGAGACCAAGCATGTGCATCATCCTCGTGTTACAGCAGATATGCATCCCGGACATGTACATTTACCCTAAATATCTCTGTTTGGTGGCCACTTTGAGTCAGCAGCCTGAGCCTGATTACTCTGAAAGTTGCTGTTGCAGCCTAGTTCTGAGCTGTCACATGAAATGTAAATAAGTCTAACTGTACCCTGGAACCCCGACATGCAAACTGACTGCTGTGACTCATCTGACCTCAGACCCTCTGAATATCACAGGTCCGTTGGCCAGCATTTGAATAGCAGCATGTTCTCAAAATGGCACATTTTGCAAATGCACCCAATCCTCTGTGGTGTCAGTGGCCATCTGGTGTTGTGTTTTGTCAGAGCACGGGGCAGTCAGGCTGACCTTGGCAAGAGGGCAGCTAATAACTCTGACAGTGATGCTTAATGGCTTCTTGGCAAAGTGGGAGCTCACCTGGAGGGTGGTGAGGGAGCAGCACACGTCCAGCTGGAGCTGCAGATGGACCTGGCCTGGGACACCTCAGTGTTATTGTGCTGTCCCAGTGAAGGAGGGGCTGGGCAGTGCCCCCCCAGCTACAGCATTTCTTTGCAATTTGATGCAGCTGAAGGATGTAGCTCAGTTGCTAAACACAAGCACATGGCAGGAGATAACGCTGCCTTTTGCAAACCATGACAAAATGAAACAGAAGTTAAAGAGAGAAGCAGAATTGTCAGCAGCTCCTGTTAACAAAGCCTGTAGGTGCAGACACTCAGTGGCCCAGGGCTGGGGGTCAGCTGCAGCCCCAATTAACAAAGTGAAGAAAACCAACACTAGTTGTGCTCTTTGTCACTTGAGAGCTCTAATCTCTTTTTGTTTACAGCACAAAGATAAGAACCCTTAGTAACAGGGGATGAGTTACTAATACCTACCTACAGAGACACTTTTTCTGGCAAATGCCCCATGCGAGTTTTGCTGTCAGGAAATGAGTCAGAAGCAGGGGAGCAGTGCCTGCAGTGCCGTATGAAACAGGAAGCCAGCATTCAGTGTTAACCGTTGCTTTAGACACGGAAGGGAATCACTATACTAAGAATTAGAACCCCATGGGGAAATACCCCATAAAACCAAACTCCTGTAACTCAACCACAGGTATAATTCAGTTGTTGGCATCCAGATTTCAGTCACTGGGCTACATGGTTGCTTGCTTGTAGAAGTCAGGCTATGGCACACTGTAACAATCAGAAAGATCAAGGCAATGGAATGGTGTTACAGGAGATGTAACCACAAGGAGACCAGTGCAATAGAAAGGTGTTACAAAGAAAAAGTACTCACCCATCTCCAAAAAGTTTAGGCTCACAGGGAAAACTCCAGACAGGAGGGATCTCCAACCAGAGACCCTTCCCCATTGGCAGTCAGCCCTTAAATGAGGGCTAAGAGAGGTGCAGCCAGGCTCCAACCCTTCTGATTGCACAGGTGAATTGCTTTCACCTGTGCTCTCAGGGCTGACCAGGTCTTCTCCCCAGGTGCTCAATCAGTGGTTCAGATCAGGACTCAACGGTTCCCTTCCTCCTGTGTATTCCTTGCTAGCTGGAAACCATGTCACAGATGGGTCAGAGCTGCCAGGATGGGAAGCTCCTCCTGCTCCTCCATGAGGAGTGGAAAGCACAGCAAGGGGACTGATGCTGCAGTAGCAGTCCTATCTCCTCTGCAGTAAGAACAGGAGGGGCAGATTTGAAGGAGGTAGCAGCATGTTCTGTGCAGGGGGCGTTCTAAACGTCAGTGTTGTCAGATAGGAAACGTGAATACAGACAACTCTTGCAGTGCCTTTGCCTTTACAACCACTGCTTTTGCTCTCCCCAGGAATGACCCACACTCCCTCTCCTGTGCCAAATGCTCCCAGCAGTCCCATCATGATGCACAGCAACTGGACCTGCTCCGATCCCAATGTAATGTACAAATCCACGCTGTACGCAGCCACCTACACCATCATCTTCATCCCCGGCCTGCTGGCCAACAGCGCTGCCCTCTGGGTGCTGTGCCGCTTCATCAGCAAGAAGAACAAAGCCATCATCTTCATGATCAACCTGGCCGTGGCCGACCTGGCGCACGTCCTGTCGCTGCCGCTGCGGATTTACTATTACATCAACCGCGCGTGGCCTTTTGGGAAATTCCTCTGCATGCTGTGCTTCTACCTGAAGTACCTCAACATGTACGCCAGCATCTGCTTCCTCACCTGCATCAGCATCCAGCGGTACTTCTTCCTGTACCAGCCCTTCAAGGCCAAGGACTGGAAGCGGCGCTACGACATCGCCATCAGCGCGGCCGTCTGGCTCTTTGTGGGCGCCGCCTGCTCCCCGTTCCCCATCATGCGCGGCTTCCGCCTGCAGAACAATTCCAACACCTGCTTTGCAGACCTGGAGGTGCGGCAGATCGAGAGCAAAGTGGCCACCGTGGCGATGACGGCCACCGCGGAGCTCTTCGGCTTCATTGGGCCGCTCATCGTCATCGTGTTCTGTACCTGGAAAACAAAGGTCTCCCTTCGGGGCTTCCGGATACCGCTGCAAAACAACAGCGAGGGGCGGAAAGCTTCGAGGATGGTATCCACCTGTGCCATCGTGTTCTTTGTGTGTTTTGCACCCTATCACATCAATTTCTTCTTCTACATGATGGTGAAAGAGAACGTTATCACAGATTGCCTCCTGCGCAGGATCACGCTGCACACCCAGCCCTTCTGCTTAACTCTTGCAAGTCTGGACTGCTGCTTGGATCCGATCCTCTATTTCTTTATGACCTCAGAGTTTCAGGACCAGATCTCCAGGCACAGCAGCATGGCCATCAGGAGTCGGCTCATGAGCAAAGAGAGCGCGTCGTCAGTTAAGGAGTGAAATAAAGCCAGCTTAAGAGAATTAAGATATTTCATCTGAAATCCAAGATTGTTCTACTACCAACTCCGTTACAGAAGACCCCTCGATTGTTCAGGGGAGTTTTGTAGCAGTGGAAATCTTTTGATACACACAAGATAAAACTTTATGATTAATGTGTAGGAGTGACACAGCAGACAGTGACTGCACCTACCGCTGTGATGCCCGCTTCTGACCCAGCGGGAATGGAAAATCCCCAGAGCCTTTCATGGTAAATGGTGGAAACATCCTAGGAGCTCTTCTTTCCATTTCTCCAACTCCAGAGTCTCTTTGTTCAAGCCAAAGATGATTATTCATCCATACACTGGCGTCCGCTGAAGTGCTTTCTCTGCACACCGTGCATGCGAGACCATGGAAGTGGCCAGGAACAGCGAGCAGCAGTTTTGCTGTCCATGCTCAGGGACACAGATGTGTGAACTTGCTCCAGCACGGAGCCCCAGCTCGCTGCTGCCTGCCACGGCTCTCAGAGCATTGCTCTGGTCATCACGCTTACCACTGCTTCATTTCTTTCTGCTCTTTTCATCAACTCCTCCTTCTTACCCTGCTCCATGTATGCTCCTTACCTGTGGATGCATCCTGTGCCTTACCCTGCAGCCAGTGCTGTGAGGCTGCTCACATTCTGCACAGCAGGACCTTTCCTCTCTCCATGCCCCCTTCAGACCCCAAGGAACAGCACTGCCAACAGTGGGGGACCAGCATCAGTGCTGCTGGGTTGGGTGACCCCAGTGGCACCGCGCAGGTCCCCATCCCCATTATGTCCTCATCCCCATTATGTGCACGGCTCCTTCAGCCTAGTGCTGAGACCACACTGTGAGATCCTTCTTTAGGGGTTCAGGGACACATCCACTAGAGAAGAAAGGTGCCCTTCCCTCGCTGGTTTCCCTCAGATGTGACAAATCCTAGGCCAAACTCTGCCCATGTGTGTAACAGTGGTTTCTCCATGATAACTGAGGACTCTTGCTGAACAGAAGCACTGATTTATTCCCTCTGAAACCTGTGTCTTTCCAAAACAAATGCATTCAATGGCACCATCTCACATGTTGCCACAAAGCAGATAAAATACCAGAAACACTTGCTGGGTATATTTTAACCACACAATTCCTCTTAACTGCTTTTTCACTTACCCAACCTTTTTCTGCATATTACAGTTTTTTACTTGACTGTTTTACAACAAAGTGGGGGCAATTCAACATCCAGGTTTGGAAAACCATTACACTGGAGCTCTTCTCAAAGGCAGTGACCAGCTGTTGATTGAACCCAATTAGCTGCCATAGTTCTCTTTTTGGTGAGAGGATGATTATGAAAAACAGTATTATGAACTTAATCTTACAAGCAGATAAGTGAGGATGCCAAAAGATGCTCATCCAAACGGAGTAGTGTTCACATTGTGTTACTGCAGCTTCTGTAGCTTTGTATAAGAACTGGGAGCTGTTTGCTATGTTTACAATTCTCTGTTTATCAGGTGAGAACAAGTTGAAGGCACTGTTATGGCAAGTGTGTAGCTCATCCTACATTGTTCTTTCCAAAAACTGATGCTTCAGAAATAAACTCATTTTTGCAAGCGTAAGCTAAGTTTCCTAGTGGTCCCTTGCACCTGCAGAACAGAATGGGATCAGCTCCTCCTTCAGAGGATCAGAGGTCATTATGAAGTGCATTGGTGGCTGCTGACTTCTCTTGTTCTTTAAGATTCCTCTCCAGTCTACGGAAAGGTGTGGGATGGACCTCCAGAAGGGATAATATTCCCATCCCCATGAGGGCATCCCCAGCACTTCATCTCCTGCTGTCACCCCATCTCCCTGCCTTGCTCACCTCTGGGCTCCCTCAGATCCCACTTAACCAGCTTGTCTGATCTGTTGCACATCAGAGACCGACAGCCTGTCCTCTGCAGTCCCATACAAGAACTGCCAAGGTTTTAGTCCAAGCTAAACACTCAGCAGCAGAACTGGCCCCCAGCAGACCCAGCTGCCCCCAAGGAGGGGATGTGGAGATGCAGATGTGCCAGCCCCACTTCCTGCAATTCACTCCATTTCCCATTGCCATACAATCTGTTTATTATTTTGTCCATAGGAAGCATCGCCTCACGTTGTTCCTCCTCAACTGTCTCCTGTGCTGGTGTCATTAGCAAAAGAAATATGTCTTTTGCAGGGCAAGCAAATGGTTCCTCAAGCTGACTGATGTCAGAGCTGAGAGGTTCCTCTCCTGCCTGGGGAAGGATCCTCCTCTATTGAACAGGAACAGGAGTGGGGTTACAGTCCGTGGGGTTTCTTGCCTTCCTGCAGGTTCACAGTGCTGAGCTGCAGGATTCTGTGAGTGCCTGGGCACACGACTTGTGCATTTCCACTAAAAAATACCTGGCTTGTGCTTTACACAAGAACTTAATCTGAATAGGTTGGCAATGACCAACTCCAATCTTCCTACCACTACTCTCATAGGGACCCACGTGCCGTGGGGACCAGCACAGCCCCAGTGCCACACACTGCCAGCCTGGTCAGCCCAGTCCCTGCCCAGGGCTTTGTGCAAAAGAGAGCAGCCCCTCCAAGTGTTGTTTGTCAGACATCCTTCAGGTGCATCCTGTCAGACATTTCCCAGTGCCGAGCACTTACAGAGGTGTGGGTGATCTGCCCTTGGCCTCCTGCCCACAGGATACCAGTCTGAATGCAGAGCAGACCTTCCGCGGGAGGCTCAGATAAAGCCTCATGTAGCTATTAAGAAGTTCCTTCGTGTCTTCTGCTTTTAAAAATATAAATGTGCAGAGTGCAGAATGCATGTCCTGCATCTCCTGCTGGAGAGCAGCGGGGAGGGGCTCAGTGGGAGTATGAGGGGGAGATCAGTGACCAGTGAGTCCATACAGGTAGCTCCAGAAATGGGGCTGAAGTGGATGGGAGCGGGCTGGATGCATGCCCTGGCCTCAGAAGGAGGACATCCTCACAGGATATCCTGGTAAAACATCACATTGCTTCGAGATCAACCTTTAACCTCTGCAGAGAGATGCTCCGGCACAATCCACCCCCCCTTGTACAAATCTGAGCTCTTTGCAAACAATTGCACACAGTTATTTCTCCCAGGGATTGCCGTCAGCTGCTGAAAATGATTCATGGGGAGAAAAGATGAATGATGAGCAGCTCTTTCACCTTCCAAACCACTCTGCAGGGTTGGTTCCAGGGTTGGTTGGGGACTTGCACTGCACTTGGTGTTACCTCTTTCGCCTCTCTTCCACAGTTGTGCTCTTGCTCATTTTGCAGGGTCATAGGTCTGCTAAAGAAAATAAATACAGAACAGAATAAGATAGGATGGGATGGAGTAGGGTAAGGTGGGATGGGATAGTCAAAACGGACCTAGAAAAGATCATCAAAGAGCCCTTATTTACTACTGCACATTAAGTGCAAGACAAAAGGGGAATATGGCAGCATCCACTTCAGCTTTACCAACCCCAGGGCCAGAAAATGCAGCACTGAGAATGAGGCAGCTCAGAAGAAGTCATGTGATGTGTAGGTTTGACAGTGCTCAGCACTTGAG